TCCGCGCTTATATTCAAAGGACAAAAGCCATTGCAGTGAAGGTATTGTCTAGTTCAAGTTTCATCGCTATGGATGATCTTTTCAACCGTACCCTCGTTTCTTCTTTTTACATTTGGGTCCAGGAAATTGAATTCGTCGTTGTTTTCGTGTTTCATAGTAAATTTAACGTTTGGATGCTCAAAAGGAAGCAAAGTTCATTTACCAGACACCTCGTGGATTCGGGTCATTTTGTCGAGCTTTCCAAATCCTTCAAAATACTAAACAGCGAATCTACTACGATTTGCTGAAGCGATTGCAATCAAACGTCTCAGAACAAACTTACGGACACAGAAAGAGAGTGTAGTCAATCTCTCACTACCTTGGTAACCATATCACTTTCATTACTTTGACTAGTCTGCACACTAGTGAGGTCAGCTCACTTAGCATTTTTTTCAATTTGATGAACTTTACCCTTCTTTAGTTGCCATGTTGACGTACAAGCTAACACTGTTTATTAGATTTTTCTGTTTTATGCCTTTCTCACCCATCCCCCCGTTTTTCATAGTTTGGCAGTATATAAATTGATGGTAACTTAAAGTACAAATTGTAATACCTATATTCCGGATACATTCATCTTATAATGTTTTCTCTATTACCTTTCAAACATTGAAGTATCAAGTGTTATTAATTATAACCATTGTAATTTTAGATTGTTTGCAGCTGATGAGAACCTTTGAAATGGAGGATATCATTTAATTCCGCAAATCTGCTCTTTCTCTCTTACTATCGAAATTTATCAAGAGAACCAAATATGTGACAGTTTTGTTTTTCATTCAATGGGAAATACAAAATTCTTGTCGTATTCCTGTTTAACAGCATGTCATATTCATATAATATCTCTGAAGAATGTACTGAGAAAATTAGATGCAATACATTCTCAATTTTTTTTATCTGTACATGAATGTTGTTCGGAGTAAAATTAATATTGTCACTATAGCCATTTTAGTCATATGAAGAAATAATGAGAGAATGACAATGGGCATACTACTCGCAAATACTCTTACGCAGAGTTTTCGAATTCTCTCTCTTACTGTCCTATTTTTCATAGCACTGAGTAGAACCTAATGCTTGAAGCTGTTAAATAAGGTTTCCGTTGTGTTGTTCTTTCCACAAGATGGGGTTGTAATGAAGAATTTGTTTGGGGAATCCCTTCTGGACGATCTATTTATAATATCCACACTTATTTAGACGGTTCAACCAACTTTTCAATTAGTGTACGCTTTTTTTTACTTGACGATGTATAACCAAATTCACACTGGGTCTTTGCTTTTTTTTCAATAATTTAATAATTCCCATTGTAGCATAAAGAAAACCATATAATTATGTATACCTTTCCAAAATCTATGCCCCTTATATATTATTCTATTCTATACACCTTATATACTATTCTGTATATGACATTAATTAATTTGCCACTTGACATTGAACAATGATTATAATCACAATTATTTTAATTGCATTTCATACCATTATTATTATTTTGTGTATTCACACATTTGACCTATTTCCCACAATGGATATAGTTTCTTAAAAACCATATATATATGATTGTACAACCTAATAATAAATTCGTTGCAAAGATTCTCTTCGCTGAATACTGCGATATTAATTTCACACTGGTAATCACATGTTGAATTTTGCCGATTACTATTTGCCTTTGTATACTACCTAATTGTTACACTACTTTTTGTTTCCGTGAGCATAGACAACGAGTTGTTTAGCGGTGTGATCTATATTGATGGAAAACAGGTGATTATGACCCAAGAGTGTATTCAGGAGTCATTAAAATTAATCTTCCAGACTTAGTCTTTTTATTCCCAGCTAGCTTCGCATAGTCTCCTCAATTCTTAGTTGACTCTCACAATTCAAATTATAGAACAAGACATATTAGCGAACAATATTGTTTTCAATTAGATCTTCTTCAGGCTTTTCTCTAGTTTACATACATTTATATGTAAGAATTTTTAACCAATGACGGTGATTTTGTGGATCAAATAATAATAATAACAGTAACAATAATAATAATGTGGTATATGTAAATGGGAAGCAAATGATATCTTTAGAAGTAGCATCGCTGTTTACCAATGTACCACTTATAAAGACTGTGGAATTCATTTGCCGACAGATACAAGAAAAACAGACTGACATCGGAATTCCAGTCATTAGTATGAAAGAGTTGCTTTTAATATGTACTATAAATGTACACTTGACATTTAACAACCATCATTACAGACAAATCGACAGCATTGCCATAGGTTCTTCATTGTGGCCAGTTTTGCAGATTTTTTCTTGCTAAGGTTGAAATTGGTCCACTGAAACACGTAATAGAGAAAACCGATTCTTATATTCATTATGTTGATGATACATTTCGTGATGTGAAAGCTGACAAGAATGAAATGTTAAAAAAGTTCAGTGATGCACATCCATCGCTCATCCTCGTCTGTGAAGAAGAACATGATGATAGACTACATTTCCCTGACGTCCAATTGAGCAGAAGAGAGGATGGTTCACTCAAGAGAGATGTCTATAGAAAACCTACATCTGTAGGATAATATGCACATTTCCTCAGTTTTGTACCAATCCGATAAAAAGTCATTTTGGTCAGATGTCTGACGAACAGAGCAAGACGTATCTGTACAGATGACTCCTTACAAAATGAGTTAGGATGCATCAAAAATACGTTGGTCCAAATGGGTTATCCTAGTAGATTTGCAAAAAGACACATGAACACCAAGTACAATAAGGATAAACTGACAACAATTTAAAAGAAATAACTGTTCATGAAACTGCAATTTCATGAGGACGTGCCTAGTGAAGTCTTACGTCGGAGATTATCGAGAGCGATAAAATGGACTTATACTGCCTCCACCCTATGTTTGTCATTTTCCAGCCGACCAATTTTGATTGCTCAAGTGAAAGATAAGCTACCTAGCTGTGACACTTCAATGTGCATCTATAAATTTAGTTGCTCCTATGGCGAAAGCTATATAGGCCGAGCAACTAGACAGCTTAGCAAACGCATTAATGAGCATCTTCCTTCATGGTTCTGAAGAGGTCAAATAAAATCTATAAAAAGTTCTATTTTGGCTCATTTGATTGATAGCGGTCACCAAGTGGACAAAAATAGTGCCTTCAAAGTTATCTATCGCATTCCATCGAGTCTTTCGAAAGGAATTCGAACCCGTCTTTTACACATAGCCGAAGCTGTGGGAATTTGAGAGAACAATCCTAGTCTGTGTATACAAAAGAAGTTTGTTCTACCTTTGTCTCTCCCTTGGCCTAGGTGAATTTTATTCAAAACCCTCCCACCCTTTCTTATTTTCCATCTCCTTCGTACTTTTATGATATTTAAACTTTGATTGTCTGTCCACTTCACCTTTTAAGATTTGACCTAATTTAGTTATTTTTTGAATTGTCTACGTATACACAGATACATTAACTTTGTCATTCTTATCATCTGCATAAACCTATACAGACAACAAGAAGCATGGAAACAAAATAATTTACGGTAAGTAAATGGTTGGAAAACCAGTCGAATGAATGTAGATGTACAAAATATGTACAGAATTGATGATCGCAGAAATAACAGCTGTTGTAGTTGGAGAATAAAAAAGTTTTGAGGAATGAAAAAAACTTCAGTGAGGGAAAATTAAGGAGTCAGAAACATTTGTTTCGTCATCCTAACAGTTTTTCATCTTCTATAAAAAACCATATTTTAATTATAGTCTATGCCTGTCCCTTCCACATGCATCTTTGCTGAAAAAAATAAATCACTCGATTATCGCAATGCCTACCTATACACTATTTGAAATAGAACAAATATTTCCACGAAAATAATCATTGTCACTGTCTGCATTACCTTACAATATTGGTTTCGCAGCTGGGAAAGGACTGTTATTTATTAACAGAGTTACTGGCGCATGTTAAACTAAATCTATCATAAATCTACTTCTGTGTGACTTCGTTATACCACTGAGCTATTTTTGTGGTACTGAGGAAGGTGCTTGAAATTCAACCAGTTTCACTGTGTTTTATATATATTCCAGTTAGGTCCTCATGTAATTACCATCATTTACAGGCATCATTTTCGATTTCTCACTTGCTGTTGCGCTTTTATGAAACAAGAATAAAGAAGAATATTCCATGGAGAACACTGAGAATTCATCAGTCTGCATAAGCATATAGTTGAAAACGAAGCTAACAAAATTACTGAGGTGATAGAATTTCTTCTACGTTAAACGTCATGTACAAATAAGTGACACTCGTAGCATATCGCTCATACTTTAGTGTGGTTGGGATAACATCTTGAAGATAAATCACTTATAACGACAGGGTTAAAGTCAACAATTTCACAAATTTTCTTCAGACGCAGGTATTAGTGCACATAGATCATTATCGAGCACAAGGAAGTAAGAGAAATGAAGGTGGCGGAGATGATTGATGATGCACAGACGATGTCACGTTTCACAGATCAGTAAGCAACATGAAGTTATAACGTCCAATCAACGCCATACTACTCAACAACTTGACATTTTCAGTAGTAAGTGATCACCAAATATTTTCTGTCATGAAATTTAAGAAGGATCCATTATTGTTACATGGTATATCCAAGTACATAGACTATGTTCCGGAACTCCTCATTGACGTTGAATCACCTGATTAAATGGCCACCTAAATTCGGTTGCTTTCCTTTTAAGACTAAATCACATATTCAAGGGATGGTTTCTGCATTAGAACAGGTTGACGTATAATAGTGAGAAACATCAACAAGGATTAAAATTCTCTCAAAGAGAAAGTCAACAAAATCTGGTAAAACACTTATATTTACCCTCTGAATAAGTTGTTATACACAAGTGAAAGTTCAAGCAAACACAAAATAATTTATTTCAAAGACTGAAAATATAAACGGTTACCCGTTCTAGCAAAGTGAGAAGTTCTTTTTTGCACAAAACACAAATTACAGTGGAAATTGCTCAACATAATACAGAGGAGTCAACTGATATGAAATAAATTTCAGAGAACTAGCAAAACACAATGCTGCCTGCAAAAAATAAAATAAAAATATACATCATAAATGTGCAGAGATTCGACTACATTTATGTAAGTTTGTTAATTTAATGAGTGAAAAATAACATGTGATTACGTTTGTGAATTAAGTCAGCGGTTAAATCTACGTGAAATATGGCTACAGAATTTGTGATAAAGTTGCTGGAATTATGAATCCATTTCAACATACACTTTACTTAATGTTTTGAAATAAATTCTCTCCTCAAATAAGAAATTAAAGCCCATTCAAAATACTTCAAATCAAAAGTGTGTACTTACCAGATCTAAAGCCGTGTTCCAAAAGCCACCGGCCAATGAAATCTTAACTTCCTGAAATAAAATGAGGTTAAATACATTCACAATTTTGATTACAAAATAAAGCAGATAAAACGCGTAATTGAAATCATATTAATCAGGTAATAAAATAAATTCTGTCAAATAGGACGTAACTATAAAGGGCGTATGTACAAGATGACGCACAACTCCACACAACATCAAGAAGAAGCTAAATTGAAGCCGAGAGTATTGAAACACTAATGTTCATTCGAATTTCAGCTTAACATTTCTTAACATCATGAAATAGAATGTTCTGGCATCGCTAAATATTTGCGTATCAAATAAGTGAGATGCTGTTTCGCAGATTGATGAGTGTACTGGTGGAAATGTACTCCTACTTCCTATCTTCTTCAATGTCAGAGCATACATGTTTGATATTATAAGTACAGAGGTAAATAAATGACTGAAATTGAATATGAGTAGCAGTCAAATTAAAATCATTCGAGTTAATACAGCAATTTATGTTGAAACGTAAAAGTCAATTTGACATTTCAGTTCACTTACATCACTGTTCCCGAAATAAAACAAAAGCCCACCAATTATAACAAAAGCCGCCGATAAAGAAATCATAACTATGAACACAACTTGTTTAAATCTTTTAGTTAATATGCAGAAGATGACGGTTAGTAAGTCTTCCAGAATAATGAAACCCAGTAAAACATAACAGTTTGAATGGGACATTTTGCAACACTGAGAATAAGTAATCGCAGAGCATAGTAAAATCTGTTGGCAAAATAAAATGAACATTTCTAAAAGATAAATACTGATGCACTAATATCTTTCATGAAATATATGTCTACATCGAATTTCCTGTGAAACAGCTTCAATGTTTGGCTCTCATATGCTTATAGTTACATGTGGTTGTGTTGGCAGTCTGCAAGGATACCTGGATCTCGATATCGCACTTATTGGCTCTAAATAGCAGTGTAAAACTAAAACAATGAAAGGAAACATGTATCGGTAAAGTCACGTATTTACGTGCAGGATACGCGTGTAATGTGTCTGATTTTGATTCTTCCTCACTTTGCAAGTGAGAAAACGAGATTTTTGATTGTCTTCTGAACCTACATGGAATCAGAACTCTGTTGTTGAATCTCACTGTGTTTATCAGCTGACATTCGTTTGTGGGCACAGGTGCCTAGGAAGAAACCATCAGTCTGTGCAGAGCAGGTCTACTGGAGACACTATCATAATTCCTGAAACAACAGATAGAATCAATTTATGCAATTTTTTCCGAAGGTACATGTCTAATGGCCTTTATCCTTTGGTACATACTACAAAGAAGTCATTAAATTATTTTCAGCAATAAAGTATAACCCAACTAATGGGCAGCTTTGGAAATTTTGTTAAAATTATTCCAGTTATAGTGTAAATAGCCTCTACGGAGAGCTTTATAAAATGTTCGTGTAGAAAACGGAAGTTAAACTGAATGCACTAAAAATGTCTTTCCTATGAAGTGTTTCGCTATTAGACACACTTTCGTTAGATCCTTCAGGTTCCAAACTGTAATATTTAGAGGCATCATATACAATAAACAGAATTATATCGAAGAAAGGTGGTTGGTATTCTTTCTTATTTTTTTTAAGCAGATGAAAAGTGATAAACGTGGTTGGAGATTACAGAATCTGAAATTCGCCACAATATGCGAAGAAAATATTGCTAACCCAAATAAGAATAACTCGATCGGAATAATGTTTAATTTAGAAATGAAAAATTTGTTATCATAGTACAAATGAATATGAAATAAAGACTTTGAAGTACGTTTTTGCAGAAACGGATAACCAGAGATGGTCATAAATAAAACATAAATCAGCTCCAGTAAGACTATCCATACAGTTTAGGAAAAAAGCTGTATTTGTCAGTCTTCCATCTGAACGAGTTGAGGTGATGCATGTAGTCAAATAGAGATTTTGTAGAGCCACCGGAAGGACCTATTACACTACAAAAATGTGTTCACTAACATTACCTGAAAGGTATTTCAAGCATCTAAAAACGTCCATCCACCAATCCTGGACAATGCATCTTTCATTTTGAGTGCGTTTGTGGTAACAAACACATAAGTCGTCTGAAAATGTGATTGAACAGTCGGATAACGGAGCATTTGACATATTGGTTTAGAGCAGTGGAAATCAGAGTACCGAAATTTTCAGTGACAAAGCATCATGTAGACTAGTGATGTGAACTGATACTGTCAAGTCATTCACGGTTTTCAGCAGACAAATACAGAGGAAGTTGCTTGCGACAGAGCGGTGTGCTTATGAAATTATGGTTTACAGACTCACTATCTGTATGCGAAAGGGAACGGTGATCAATCTGACTTACGTACAGCTGTTAGTGTTAATATTCTTTTTTTCATTATATTCAAGTTCATTAATTATATGCATGATTCTTTGAAAACTATACTCAATCACTGCCAATAAGTTAACTCGTTTCAATATTCTTGTTACTATCACTAATAACATTGTCAATATTATTGAGTTTGTAATTCTAATTAGATTATATGAATTCTTCAAAACTTATTTCGTTTTCATTTGTTGCTTGTCTAACTTCTATCTATTTCCGACTGAATCACACAACAAACACGGAGTGATCTTGTGTAAAAGAAATCAAGTGATGAACACCATACTCTGATAAACTTACTATTATTCCTGTCATGATCAACCCGATTATCACATTATACTTGATTTTGAAGAATAGTAATATACAGAGGACCAAAATCAGCACACTAAAATCAAAATAGGAAAAAGCTTTATTGAGTTCCGAAATCCAAAAAATTATTCATGTATAATCATTCGATACCCTGATGATATGTGGTTGTATATCACATTTTGTTATCACACAGAAAAGAGCGTTAATAACTGGATGCAGTTTGAAACATAAATAATAACTCACACCGTCTCAGCTAAATGTTCATCAATCCTTAATAGCTTCAACGTTTTGCTTTGGGATTTGTTTACTATAAAGATAGCAGAAAACTACACATGTCCTGAAAGTATGTGAAGATATTCCTCACACACTCGTAAGATTTCACTACTGATGGGCTGGTTTTTAGTTTATCCCTCCAATGAAACTTTGAAGTTGAGACGAACTCGATTACGGGATACTGCTGGAATGTTCTACACTTTTCCCCAAGGATGTTCGCTTTTTGACACTGTATTGAGTATCTTTAAATCAAAAGTCTAGTCTGAGTTGTCTGAGTTGTTCATTATGTGTCTAGTCATACCCATTAGAAGACTGTGGAAAACTGTTTGTGTAAAATCATGAGAACACACTCAAAATAATCAAACACAAGGAAAGGGATAGTAAGGGGCATACATAAACATTCAGAATTGCAGATTCCCACTATACGTTTAACTTGAAGCTTAAGATATTCTCTAGAAGGTATCTGGGCCCTATTTTTTCTATGTTGTCTGTGTCACAGTAATGCGATATCATTTTCCATGAAACTTGAAGACGGTAAATATTACACTAGAATCAAGAATACTTAACTACTAGGATATATCAGTTCTCCTCCATCAATAAGGTCAGTAATAAGCTTTAATCCATGAATATAATGCTGTCAAAATTTATTAGTTTGATTCTTCAGATTAAAAACCCTAGTTCACATACACATATTTAAAATCATATACCGCTAATAATGTTTATTTTAAAGGTTGCGGATAGCAACACTTACGCGCCAGCGATCGCGATATATCCCTGCCATCCTAGAGGAAATGTTTTGCCGAACTAAACAAAAAAAATCATAATAAAATATGTATTTTTTGTTATTTTTTGTTATTTTTTCATTACAGCTTGATTCCACACTGTATTTTTGGTACAAGTGTGGAATTTTCAGCATGGATATCGGTAGCCCAAAATTCGCAGGCCAACCATAGATATCAAGTGTGCGTCGGCGTGGGCTCGAACCCCGGACCATGTGCATGGTCGTCGAGAGTCCTAACCACTGTGCCACCGACGCACTTTATGACACCATTAGCATTTAATCTACCATAAACACAATTAAGGAGACTTATGCAAATTTTTACTGGGTGGTGAAAAATTTGAGGTACATTAAACTGTGACCAACCAATTAGTCGTCACGTTTGACCTGTCAGCATGAATATTTCAGGCACAGAGATTGTTCAGAGATGTAAGCGATGCCATCAAAGGTTGTGATGATTGCATGAGAATTTCAACACTTAGTGCGTGAACTTAATATTCAAATTTACTACATATGGGCTTCTGTTTCAAGTAAGTCACGTTTAGAACACAATCAGAATGTTATTTAGCAACGGAGGATTAATTACCTCTTGTTTTGTGGACAATGCAGGTCATGTTGCAGGATGTATAATAACCTGATACAGACTGGGTGAACAAAATAAATGGAAATTAGAAATCCATGAAGAAACATATTGTCATTAACAGCAACACCTTAATGATAAAACTGTTGATTATTGATATAAAGTTTCAGACCTCGTAAACCGTGGAGTCATGAGATTCAAGGCAAAAGTTCCCACGACAAAAGTGTTTTTGATATGTAAGTGAAAACAACGACAAACGATAAAAAGCTGAACTGCTCACCTGAGAATAAATAGCCATCTAACTATTGACGTTACAGCACTCACTTACAGAAATGCTCAACTCATGTGTAAATAAATCCATCTCATTTTTTTAAACTTTGATTCATATTTGTTTTGCACTGATGATGAAGTGTTTTGTTTATCCTTACAAACGGCTTCATTCGACTTAAAAGATTTTTTAACAATCAAAAAATTCGTCGTCTTTTTATTCAAGACTGAAAACAATTAACTTTTAACCGTCATGAAACGTGTTGAGTTCAAAGAACAATGTAGTGTATTTTTTATAGTGTGTGTTTGTTGGATGATTGTCTTCAGATCTGTCAATCCGTTTACTATCCGCTAGAATAAAACAAAATAGCGTCATTTCTGCACTCTTTGAAGGTTATGCGGTGAAGTTAGGTATGTTGTGGCATTTAGTCGATTGTATTGAATATTTCAAAGTGATTTAATGAAATCTGCGTAGGAATGAGCCGTTAGAACTTCCCACGACGTCTCGAATGGACAAGTATCTTGGAAATGTTAAAACTCATCAAAAGATTACTGGATGTAAAATATGTCACATCACGAGCTGTGCAACACGAGCAACAAATCAAAATAATAGTTTTCACAACAAATGATGAGGAAAATAAAGTCTGTGAGGAAACAAACAATGGAAAATTCACAATGTAGTTCTGTTCCACTCCTTATATTCATTCATTTGTTTTTTTTTTCACTCCCTTTAGCTTGTTCACTTCAGTTACAGACACTGCTGTCCCTGTGTGATCAATCTGCTTCTGTGTTGATTATATTTACACTTGAACACATTAAACAAAATTATTTGACATTTCTCTTGGCTATGTCGTCATTCTATATAATTTTCTTTGCATTAATTTGTGGTTCATATTCACACCTCAAACTTTCGTATAAAATCATCATAGCTGCAGTTCATAAGTCGAACTAAATAATAAGTGCAACCATGTAAACTTGTGCATATAAATACGATTGCATAGCTGTTGAGAATGAATACGCGAAGAAGATACATATTTTGAGGTGTTCGGTTTCCACACAAGATAAACGTTTTTTTATTAGATGAACTCCCCCTTCAGAAACACAATAACATATTCACCTATCATATGCGATAAATTGGTAGGCCGAAATAATAAAACAGTATTCTGTGGAGGGTGACGCTTTGAGGCGATATCATTCTCAAGCTGTGCAATCGCATATGTATAGTAAATATTGTCAGCAACTGAAGGAATATTTCCAAAACGCATCATAAAAATGATTAATTTCAGATGTAAATTGTCGTATTATCGAAAGCGTTACTCGGTTAGAAACTTAAAAATCTAATGATTAAGTTGAGTGACGTGATATAATTATCTAGGTTGAATGGAATTCGAACGCAACTGAACGACAGTTACGTTAATAACGATTGTTATAGGGAGAGAGAGATTAGGTGAGGGAATAAAGTGGTACCAGGTTCACTATACATTTTATGACAGAAAATATTTCTTTGTTATTTAGCATTCAGAATATAATAAATGAATCGTATTTGCTTCTGCGGTCTGAAGACGTTTAATTCATACTGCTAGAGCGAGATTTCAACATAGTCTGTGGTTATTTTCAGCGATTATTTAAAGGTGAGGTTTGTGCCCAGATTCTATCAGGTATTGCAGAATAGAATTTTGGAAGGAGGAATTCTTTCTCAGTTCCTTATAAGGCGAAGTGAAGGTTCAACGATAATTTTGAATACAAAACGCCAAACACGCACGGATCAAACTTCTTGAAACCAAAGTATTGATAAAGAATCACTTGTTATTTCCTGAACTTCAAATAAAAAAGACATTTTTTCATTCATTAAGTCTAAAGTGTACCTGGTCTACATCAAATCGAATACGTATGCTTTGTTTTCCACATTATGTTAATATTTTATTACATCAACACGCATAAAATCCCTGTCTACTTCATACCACTAATATTAACTTGATCGTCATCCGATTTCAGTTGAGTACCACTAAACTCAGTCAATTACATAACGTCAATTATATTAGTCATTTTATTTTACTTAAGCAATCAAAATGTCAGTAGATGTTCAAAGTGGATGGTCATTTCATACAACGAATTCACATTTTGTTGACCACTAATGAAAAGCACAAATCTGTTGATTCTCATTACATTTATGTCAGTACATCAATGTGAAATCACATACCTAAATCAAAGTGAATGCATCCTAATTCTAGTGAGTTCAAATGAATAGAAATGGAGCAGTGAAGAGTGTCATTACCACGAATTTTATCGACAATCTGTTTAATTAGCAAGTTTTGATTTCCATTGATTAAGTGAATTTTGACTTTTCTGCCGAGATCGTTAGAAGAGGAATCTCTCAGTCACTGAATATCCGATTCACCGAACCATCAGTTTAAATTTTTTATACAGAAAAAGAGTATTGAATACCTCTCATAGTCCTAATGTGTCTATACTAAGGTATAATAATCATTATTCATACTTTGTACATGTTTATTTTCCTTTTACTTTATTCCGTTCGCATATACTTCACTTATTGTATCGATTATTGTTATTATTAATTTTACCTCACAGAAATGTTCGACAGTCTCACTTGTTATCTCTGATTGATTTAGCCAGTGTAATTCTCGCAACATTGTCTTATCATAATTGGCATCTTGTTGTGTAATTTTTGAATTGCTTACTATTCTGATTATATCTGAAATACTCCGAGATATATGCACCTCCTGAACTATTTTATCGTGTACATAGTGGGATATTTTTTGTCACATTCACATTCTGCTTAAAACATTTATAAATATGTGTGAAGTAATTAAATTTATTCGTTATGGTTTGAATGGCAGAAATCCAACTCTACGTTTTACTGTACAGATGGCGAAAAGTCGTTGAGACACGTGGAATCACAGAAGTTTTCAAACTCATTAGAAAGACGATTATTAGTAAAACTGCCAACGGTTCTATTAAACAACAATAACATCAAACTGAAATTTACCTCAACAGTGCTGTGAGGCAGCCATACAGGCTATGCATGTTTCTGAGCACAAACCAGCACTTTAAGAAAAAATGATTAAAAATAGTTCAACTGTTAACGCTACAATGAAATCCAGAAGGGTATTCAAAACCTGGTTGGTAATAAGAGCTCAGTCCACAAGAATAATAATTTAAAGCTTCCTGAAGACAGTCACGGGTCAGAATGTCCTGTTTTCAATCAAAGTAGCCCAGAATGTTAAACAACTCGTCGACAATGTACATGGAACTATAAAAATTTTAACTAACAAACAAAGCCCTAAAGTCAAAAACAACGCATGCGTTATGTCAATGTGAAATTACTGGTGTTTTGACTTCAAATTGAAGTATGCGCTGAAGATGTCACCCAGTAAGGTGATGAAAGCTTCGCAAACTAACCATCCAGCTCAGAGAACAAAACCACATCAAAATCATCCACCTGAGCTACAAATCTTCTCTATCATATCGAAATTACTGGTACATATTGTAGTGGAAAAGTGTGTAGCAGTTACAGAGTTAGTTAAGACCTCTAAATTAGTAAGAATATCGTGGATATGTCGTCTTGGAGGCGTTTTCGAATCAACTTGTCCATTCTAACCTCATCCTGTGGAAACAGCAGCACTACGAAAACCTTATTGAGCGGCTTCAAGCATAAGGTTACACTCGGTGCGCTGTAAAATAAGGCAATGAGAGAATTTGAAATAATTGCGTGGAAATATTTGTGAGCAATGCATGCGTCATCAGTCTCTCATTATTTCTCCATATGACTATAATAACAGTAATAATTTTACTATGAGCTGCATTTTGGTACAAATATGTAGTTTTCAGAATTTTAGAATATTGCACCTAATTTCCTCATTACTTATTGCATCGATAATAAATAAACACGGCATTTACATTGAAAATGTTGTTATATAGCAACACGAATACAAAAGTATGATTAAATATCAGCAACATTGCGACAATTAAATAAAGAACAAAGGGGACCGTTTACTTAGTGTTTCACGATAATATAGTAGTATCTTGATTTACCCTTCTCACACTCCATAGGATGTGTGCGAGACGAAGTATTGTAGAGTTTTTACACTAAGTCATCCAACATTACATTAGTCAGTAGTTTCTTGCAGATGTACCTGATACCTGATTCGATGTAAATGGAGAATTGTGTAAGACGAATATGATCAGATTCAAACCATAGTCAAATGAAAAAAACTACAAATACTGTATATACAAGGCCAGAAATTTGAACAATTTTGACAATGCGTTGAAATCAAGTGTAGAGTATTGAAATGTGTCTGTTCTTCAACCTAGAATTTCAGCTTAACGTTTCATACCATTATGCAATAAAATGCTTTCACATTATCAAAGAGCTGTATATCAAATAAGTGAAATGTTGTTTCGTAGATTGCTGAATGTTCTGTGGTTATTGACTTTCTAGAAGGGTACTCTACACTCGATTTCCTCTTTTGTGTCAGTTTATGAATATTTGGCTTCAATAAGGTGTACTCAAGTAAATAACTGAAGGCGTGTGTGAGTAATAGTCTTATTGAATTGATATTTCTTCTCACTACACAAATTCATGTTAATATACAGAGGGTCACTTCACATTTTAATCCTACTTACATATCTCCTCCCGAAAAAAACAAAACTGCGCCAATTATCGAACACACAATCGTAAGGGAAATCATAACTGTCCTCACTGCTAGTTTGAATCTTGTAGTTAAGATGCAGAAAACCATAGTAACACAAGTCTTCGACAACAAGGAGGCTGATTAAAATCGAACACTGCGATTCAATGATTTCGCAGCACACTAAAGCGATAACCACAGACCATAGTGCCATCTGCTGTGAAATGAATGGAACATTTTCAATATGTGAATATAAATGTTTTACTTTTTTTATAGAGTTAATGACTCTATAAAACGTTTGACTCACATTTGCTGACAGTTAAATGTGGGAAAGTTAGCGATCCGCATGAAAACGTGAATCTAGGTTCACCAATTATTGGCTCACCTTCGTAATGTATAATATAAATAACCGCCTTATTCCGAAAGACAATAATCATACAGAATGGAAAATTTAACGCTTTCAAAGGTACTCCATCCATTTGACTCCTTGCATAATAACAAATGCAAGAAGCTCAAGTC